CCCCTCCCTCCCCGCTCCCCCTCCCTCATGAACCCTTGATAATTTATATATTATAATTTTGTCATCTCTTGCCCTGTCCGACGTCTCCCTTCAACCACTTTTCTGTTTTCCGTCCCCCAGGGAGGTCACATGTAGATCCTTGTAATCAGTTCCCCCTTTCCAACCCACCCTCGCAGTACCGCCACTCACACCACTGGTTCTGAGGGGATCATCTGCCCTGAATTCCCTGTGTTTCCAATTCCTCTCTGTACCAGTGTACATCCTCTTGTTTAACCAGATTTGTAAGATAGAATTGGGATCATGATATTGGGGGAGGAGGAAGCATTTAGGAACTAGAGGAAAGTTATATGTTTCATCATTGCTACATTGCACCCCAACTGGCTCATTTCCTCCCCAAGACCCTTCTGTAAGGGGATGTCCAGTGTCCTACAAATGGGCCTTGGGTCTCCACTCCATACTGCCCCCCTCATTCACTGATAATGATTTCTTTGTTCTGAGGATGCGATCACAGGCTTTTAGATCCAGTGCGATGGACGCATCTCCAGGGCTCTGGCCATTCTCAGAGTGACTGGCCAGTGGGAAGGTGAAGGCAGATTGTTCTCCTAAAGTATTTTAAAGCAAATGCCAGGCAATAATTGATCTCACCTTTTAAAATTTCATTGTATATTTCTAACAGATGAGGACTTTATTTTTAATATAAATCAAATGCCCTAGTACACTTTATACCCCCAACACAATTACCATATATAAGCCAAGTATAAGCCAACCCAAATATCAGCCGAGGCATCTAATTTTACCACATAACTGCATTAAACATGTGCTGAAAAACTCGGCTTGTACACGAGTATATATGGTATAATTCTTTAATAAAAATAAGTCCATCTTTTGTTTTCCCCGGTTATCTGAAAAAGAAATTTTTTTACTTGCTTTGTTTAAATCAAGACCAAAATACAGTGTACACATTACATTTGATTAATATTCCTCTTTTTGTGTATTCTCTAATAGCATCCCGCCCCTTTATTGCATCATTGACAGTTGGAAACAATGAATTTACTTTCCTGTAGGATTTCCCATGTTCTGGAATTGTGTCGCTGTGCCCTTATGGTGTTTTGGTTTTTCTTGACACATCTCTCTATATTTCCTGTAAACAGCTTTATTGAGATATGTCACATACAGTAAAATGCACCCTTTAGAACAACAAGTGATCCAAATCGGTGGTGAGGAGGGTGTAGGAGGCCTGGTAGGGCATGATCAAGGGTAATGTAACCAAGAGGAATTACTG